GGCAGGCAGGCGGGGCTGCAGACCTGGAGGATCGAGGAGCTGGAGCTGGTCCCGGTGCCCGAGGGCGCGCACGGCGATGATTCGTGGGCGACGCCTACGTGGTGCTGCACACCGCGCGAACCAGCCTGGGCTTCGCCCACCGCCTGCGCTTCTGGCTGGGAAAGGAGTGCTCGCAGGATGACAGCATGGCCGCCGCCATCCTCACCGTCCAGATGGACGACTACCTGGGGGGAAGCTGGTGCAGAGCAGGGAGCTCCAGGGCTTCGAGTCCACAGACTTGGCGGGCTACTTCAAAGGGGGCCTGAAGTACAAGGCTGGAGGTGTGGCATCAGGACTCAACCATGTTCTCACCAACGACCTGCCGGCCCCGAGGGTCCTGCACGTGAAGGGGCGCAGAGTGGTCAGGGCCACTGAAGTTCCCCTCCGCTGGGACAGTTTTAACAAGGGTGACTGCTTCATCATAGACCTTGGCTCCGAAATTTACTAGTGGTGTGGTTCCTCATGCAACAAATACGAGCGTCTGAAAGCAAGCCAGGTTGCCACTGGCATTCGAGACAATGAGAGGAAAGGAAGATCTTAGCTCATTGTGGTGGAAGAAGGAAGTGAACCTTCAGGACTTACTAAGGTTTTAGGGAAAAAGCCAGAGCTTCGCGATGGAGTCAGTGACGATGACGCCATAGCAGACATCACTAATAGGAAGATGGCGAAGCTGTACTTGGTTTCAGATGCAAGTGGCTCCATGAAAGTGACTGTGATGGCCGAAGAAAATCCCTTCACAATGGCAATGCTGCTTTCTGAAGAATGCTTTATTTTGTACCATGGTGCTGCAAAACAAATTTTTGTATGGAGGTAAAGGTGCTAATCCCGAGGAGAGGAAGGCTGCAATGAAGCCAGCGGAAGAATTTCTACAGCAAATGAATTACTCCACCAATACTCAAATTCAGGTTCTTCCAGAAAGGGGTGAGACACCAATCTTCAGTTTTTTAAAGACTGGAAAGATAAAGATCAGAGTGATGGCTTCGGGAAAGTTTATGTCACAGAGAAAGTGGCTCGAATAAAACAAATTCCATTTGATGCCTCAAAGTTACACAGTTCTCCGGAGATGGCAGCCCAGCACAATATGGTGGATGATGGTTCTGGCAAAGTGGAGATTTGGCGTGTAGAAAGCAATGGTAGAATTTAAATTGACCCAAACTCCTATGGTGAGTTCTATGGTGGTGACTGCTACATTATCCTCTACACTTATCCCAGGGGGCAGATCATCTACACGTGGCAGGGAGCAAATGCCACACGAGATGAACTGACCATGTCTGCATTCCTGACTGGCCAGTTGGATTGGTCCCTTGGAGGGCAGGCTGTACAGGTCCGAGTCTCCCAAGGCAAAGAGCCTGCTCACCTCCTGAGTTTGTCCAAAGACAAACCACTCATTATTTACAAGAATGGGACATCAAAGAAAGGCGGACAGGCCCCGGCTTCGTCTGTGCGCCTCTTTCAAGTCCGGAGAAACCTGGCATCTGTCACCAGGATTGTGGAGGTTGATGTTGCAAATTCATTGAATTCCAATGATGCTTTTGTCCTGAAACTGCCCCGCAATGGTGGCTACACCTGGGTAGGAGAAGGTGCCAGCCAGGAGGAAGAGAAGGGAGCAGAGTATGTGGCAAACGTCCTGGGGTGCAGCACTGCAAGGATTCAGGAAGGCGAGGAGCCAGACGAGTTCTGGACCTCCCTCGGAGGGAAGAAAGAATACCAGACCTCGCCACTGCTGGAAACGCAGCCAAAGACCATCCGCCCCGGCTCTATGGCTGCTCCAACAAAACCGGCAGGTTCACTATTGAGGAGGTTCCAGGAGAGTTCACCCAGGATGACTTAGCAGAGGATGATGTCATGCTACTAGATGCTTAGGAACAGATATTTGGATTGGCAAAGATGCCAGTGAAGTTGAGAAAACAATCACTGAAGTCTGCCAAAATGTATCTTGAGACAGATCCTTCTAGAAGAGATAAGAGGACTCCAATTGTCATCATAAAACAGGGACACCAGCCACCCACATTCACAGGCTGGTTTCTGGGCTGGGATTCCAGTAGGTGGTAAACTGATTTTTGTTAAAAAACAAAAAAGCATTAGAGGCACATTAAAGGCAGTTGTCTCATTGCTGTTGGGGAGGGGATGCTTTTTGTTTGGCTTTAGAAAATTAACCTCAGCCAAATGGCTATTTTTATGTCATGTATTGGTTAAAATTCTTTTAAAAGGGAATTTTGTATGTTAATATATTGAAATAACCTAAGTAAACTTTTGTTAAGGGATAATATTAGCTGTTCTGAAAACAGGTTTATACCTTTTTATATGACTTTTTAAAAACAAAATGCTTTGTATTTTCTAGGGAATTTGTCAGGTAGGAAATTTTATAATTTAGCAAACATTAGCCAGACTTGTTCTTTAATATGCCAGAGAAGAAAGCTATTGTGAAAAACCTTTGACGTTTTTCTTTCCTATGTATTGTCTTCAAAATAATTGTATATTTTCAGTAAGGTTTATGTTAAAATGGCTTTAAAAATGTGTTATTTGCTTTCTTTAGTCAATGTGACTTTGATACCATTAACTCCTAAGTGTCATCTTCCAAAAGAAACTTTCTCTTGTTGCTTTTTTGAAGCTGCAGCTCTTTCATGATAAATTGTGTTCTTAGCAGTTTAGCTATATGTATTTGAGTGTACACGTTTACTATTACAGCAGATACACACAGAAAACTTTACTAATGCTCTTTCATCATTAAAATACATCTTTCTGAAAGAAAAAAAATGAATGTTCTACCGTCGTGTTCAGTGTAATAATCATTTTTGCTATTGGTTTGCCATAGATTATTTGCATATTGTGGGACCTTCTTGAAAAGGAATCTAATTTCTAATTCAGAAAGACTGAAGGTGTTTTAAAGATATTTTAAAATACAAAGTATTCATAATAACTTTCTGAATTGTGAATAAATAAATTTTAAGATCCAGTCAAGGAAAACATTTTTAGGTCTCCTTTGCCTAACAGCAATTAAAATCATTTAACTATATTAAGTTCTTAAGTATTTTAGCACACATGGTCCAGTCTAACACTGCCTGAATTTATAATTATGGGCTTACATTAACAACTTAGGTTATAAAAATGTGATTATGGGTACAAAATATTAGTTTTACTGTTTGACAAAAATATTAGGTCACATTCAGCAGTTATGATTTTGTTCATATAATTTACCTAAAGAATATTATGTTTTTCTTCTTGAACCCAGTGACCCTATACATTTAAGGCATGCTGTACTTAAGATTCAAAGACATTGTTCTTGTAAATGTACAAAATAATGTTAACAATTAATATTCAAGAGACCCACTGATATCTCAGAGATTTAGTAAGTTTAGTAAGAACAAATACTTGAAGTATGATATTTATTGGTCTGCCTTTTACATATGGGCTACCGAAGTTATACTCAAAGAATGTACAGCAGATTTTGTGTGTGTGTTTGTGTGTACGCATATGTCTATATCTATGTTTAGGCCTACTAAATAATCCTTATCATCTTTGTCGGTTTGTACTGTATGCAAACCTATATATATATATCTATGTTTAGGCCTACTAAGCAAACTTTATCATCACCAGGTCTGTCTGATCTACACTACAGGTAGACTATGGACTCAATATCTGTGTCTCCACTCAAGTTCAAGTGAGAAAGCTCTGATCCGAAATGTGATGATACTTGGAGGTGGGACCTTTGAGAGGGAATTATGTCATGAGGATGAAACTCGCATGAATGGAATTAGTGTCCTCATATAAAGGAACAGTGAGAAATGATCTCTCTTTATCATATGAAGATACACTAAGGAGGAAGTCATCTGCAAACTAGGAAGCCAAACGATTGGCACCTTGATCTTGGGGTTTCCTAGACTCCAAATCTGTGAGAGATAAATGTTGCTTCAGACATCAAATTTATGGTATTCACCCCAAAAGACTAAGGCAAATTAGAATATGGTCTCAGGAAATCACAAATCAAGGGTTAATCACATGCATGAGGCTGTCATTAGTGCTAATATAAATAAAACACTGTACTACATGTTGGTTACGATGACTATAAATTAAGGAGGGGAAGAAGAGGAGGGGAAGGAGATGAAAAAGAATTAAGATGTGTTGTGTACATGTACCAACTCCCCACAAGGAATGTAATCATTATGTACTGCAAACATGTACTAATAAATTAATAGATTCCAAGTGGAAACTTATCTAACTTCTATTTTAGAGGAATTTGTGGGTTATCTTCTTTTAGTACTTCAAATTCTTATTTCTATTCATATATTGAACAATATAAACTCTATATACATATATATATATACAGACAATATATCAGAAATATATGTATATATAATATACTATAAATAGACAATGTATCATGGGAAAGTCTTTTGTAGCTTATATTAAATAGTATATTTTATCAACTGTTACAAAGACTAAACCATTACCCTTTGTTTTAATTCATTAAATAATACCCAAGGAAATAAAAAACAGTTTAAGAAATAGATAACCCATTTTTTCTACTAGATTGATTATACTTATCCTTCCTTAGAAAGGGAAGATTTTTATGTCTTTTAATCTTCAAAAATGATTAAAAAAACTATGCCCACTTTTCCTACTAAAAATACCATCCACACTCAAAATACTGTAGTTGGGTTCCTTTGAAAAAGGAAGTATAATAAAGCATAAACCAATGATATCAGATATATATTAAAGGAAAGAAAATATTTTTTAAGAAGTCTGAACCATTTGCCCCTAAGAGTCTGATAAAGACTGAGCTTTTTAAATTTTTAGTACCAGGGATCGAACTCGGGTCCTTGAGCTTGCGCAGCAGGCGGCGAAACCACTGAGCTAAATCCCCGGCCCAAGTCTGAGCTTTTTAAGAGATCATTTTCAGTGTCCAGAAACTTAAATATGGGTGAATAAAGAAGAATCCAAATATATGCTGAAGGAAGAGATGTTTTTGTTTGAAAAATTCTATTATGCCTTACATGAATTAACAAATTAATGTCTTGTAAGCTATATTTTCAGCAATTCAATTACATTTGGCATGATTAAAGTTTAACTGAAGAAGGACTTTCTGGTGCTTTAGATTAATATCAGATGGTAACAGTCATCTCCAGCCTGTCACCCCTTATCCTCTATATATCCTTGAAAATGGCATGTGTGATGCAGGCTATCAAACCTCCGGACAAAGGCACATATACACCAAATGTACTTAATCATTTCAATATCAAGGTCATTACGTTTTCTCTCTAGAAAACAACTGCACTGTGTAACACTTTGGACAACTATAAAAACATGAACTTTGTCCCATACCATATTTAGTTCCAATGAGAAGAGTGGTCCTTACATTCTTTACTCATCATTAAATTATGATATCCAGTTGATAAGCATACAGTCCCATGCGACCTTTACACCCCAGCACATCAATTGTACTAGAATCTCAGCATATGTAGAAATGCTGCTTGTGTTATAAGCATTAATATATTGGCTTGAATAAAGCAAACTAATATTCTTCAGAATTATTGCCTGTAAGAAACTATATACTGTATATAAATTTACTTCTCTTCCAGATGGCAAAGTAATTTGCAGTCTCTATTATTTATAGCAGCAATGGTTCAGGCCAGATGTCAATGTCAGGTAGCAAGTACAGCTTTAAAAGAGAAAAGTTGGCCTATTTTTATAGCTATTTCTAGTGAAAATGATACCTCAGATATGGACCAACAGTTGACTATACAAGGTGAAGTTAAAGTCCCAGATTTTTAAGGCTCAAGGGGTTGAAGGAGTACTCTTTGAAAAGCAGCTTAGCACCTGACCTGACTGGCTGCCTGGACTTGACGACCTAGGGAACGTAGCAGGAATTCAACATATTAGTATACATGAAGAACAAGTGGTGTTGCACGGACACAAATGAAATGTGTCCACACGAAAGGTCAGAATGCATATTTGAGAAATGTGAAGTCCTTTCTTGTTTATATGGGAACATACAGGATGGGATTGACACTGCTTTCCCTATTATAAATGAAGAGTCTGTTTCCTTTATCTCCATGAAAGAACTAGTTGGAGCAGACGGGAATGGGATCCCTGGAAACATCAATATTGAGGACATTAGAACATAAAGGTCCTTTTTCTTCTCTTAACTGCAAATGTACATCATGGGGTGAGGAAGACAGAAGTGGGTGGGTGTAGGAGTCAAAAGAGTATGAGGACACCCAGATGGAAATGATAATGGTTCTACCTTAATTCAAGAAGAAATTTTTACAATGGATAACAGATGTCCTTCTTGTTAAAGTGCAGCACTGACAGAGAAGCAGGCTAGAAGAAATTCTCAACAAAACAGAAAGTAGGTCTTCACGGTTGGGATTTTGCACTATAGCTATTGGTCCCCTTGAAAGTTTTGGGGGAAGGCTACTCAAAAGGTGGCAAGGACATAAGGAGTGCCTTGTAGCATTCCCTCACATATTCCCATTTAAAAATTAAATGAAGACACTCCACTACACAAACTCCTTCAGCAGTTTTCATCCAAAGACAGGCAAGTTCTTTTTAAATGCCATCTTCATTCTAAATGCTATCTTCATGATACCTCTGTGAAGTAGGTAACATAATTCCACTTTTTACTCATAAACAAGCTAAGGGACAAATCAAGCTCAAGTGGCAAAAATGGTCTGGATAAAAGCCAATTACCAGGTCCATGGATTTGTCCACTTAACATACTTCCTCTGTACTGATGTAGGCAACTTAAGAGATGATGAGCTGAACAAGACCACTCATGACACTGGGAAGGCAGCACACTTTCCAGGGGCTCAGTGATGGAGTCTTTGGAAATTCTCTTCACTAGTATGTGCACTCCTTTTAATCAGGGACCAACTCACCCATGGTTATTGGAAAAGGGTTGAAAATACAGTCATTTTGTTTCTCCACACTGTTGAGATCAAAACAGTGGTGATCTTAATGAACTGTGTAACCCAAGGAAGCTCAGTACTTCAGTCACAGTCTTAACTTATGCAGTAAAACTGCAATCCCTATATTTTGCTAATGAGTTTTATGGTTTTGATCAGACAGAATTCCACATTCTTTTATAAGCAGATTACCTATATAAGATGTACATGGTATGACATCAGGATCTGAAATAAACAATGCATCTGGTCAGCATCCATTGGTTCTATATATTTCAAGAAACACTTAAATATACGAAGGAAGCGTGCAATGTTTAGGAAATGAAGTGAACAGTGTTGGTGACTTGTATGATGGAGAAGCCAGGGTCCTTCAGGAAACTGAAGATACTCAGAAGTTGCCCCCTGATTTCTATTAACAACATTCTACAAATGAACGTTCCATTTGATACAAATATACAAATTTAAAATGTGCAGTTCAGAATGGCCTACCAGTTTTAGATTGCTTATGTGCCACAAAATATATAGTCAATAAAAAAATACCAGAGAGGTGGGGACAAAAGGCTCTCTGGATCTGTACAGCAAAAATGAACATCACTTCAATAGGCAGCGATTCATGGCTGAAGTGGCATCCTTGGAACCAAGAAGCGCTGGAAGATGGTAGGTCACAAATCTGGTGATGGAAGATAAGATGTATAGTAAGGCCCATTTTCCTAAGGAAAGAAAAAGACAAGAATATTAAGTAACAAAACCAATTTAACTGGGAATGTGAAAGAAAGGGACTTACAGTCAACAAGACAGTATATGCGAAATATCTAGCAGATGTCTGATACCGAACAGACCCTCAGCCATTAAAGTACTTCCACTGGAATGAGTCAGAATTGGTGTAAAGTAGGTAGGGACAGTAAAGATGATAATATGTTTAATAACAATAAGGATAGTAAGTTTTAATAAGATTCACACTTACTGACTATTCCATATGCCAGGCAATTTACAGGCACTGTTTTTCAGTTTTCCACTATCTCTTTAAATACTCACATAATGCTATGAAAAAGGTAACATCCTCATTTTATAGAAGAGGAAAATGAAGATACAGTACAGTACATAGAGAACATAATTCATCTAAAGTCACCTAACCATTAACCAGCACAGCTTGAATTTAAATGCAAATCAATTTGAACAGACAACTCAGATTCTTTTTTGTTAGACTGGGTTGTCTTACTGTGTGTTGAATTTTAACATAGTTATGAAGCAACTAAAAAGTGACCCTTGAGGAACTGAATAACACTAACTGTTTCGGCAGAAATGAATCTTTGTGACATCCCTGAGTGGCATGGCTCCTAACAATTATAGTATTCAGGGAATTTAGTTACATATCAGGATGAAGAATGAAATACCAGAACTTTAATGGCAAATGCAGAAAGCAACAGACTGGTGTACAGGGAAATATTTTGGCTTCCCACTCTGGCTAGTTTTATTTTAATAAAAACCAAGCCAGTTAACTTTAGGGCAGAAGGATACTAGATTTATTTAGATTTTAGATTTTCAGATTTTTTAGATTTATTCAACCTAAGACTGGTTTCTCATTTTTAAGGGAAAGTATTTCTTTGACAAAGAACTTGGTTTTTAGTAGACCACAAAAAGAAAATGCTTAGCATTAATGTCAGACAATAGGAATGAAGAATAAGAAGAATGGAAACAGACTGCTGTAATATTTCTGTTACAGTTCTATGGAATGATAACCCTACCTGGTCTTGAACATAGTAGGCAATTAAATGTTATCTGAGGTCTAAGTGAGTCAGAACCTCAGGCATTCTTCAGAGAAGATGCTCTGGAGCAGGAGAGGACCCTGGCACCACAACCAAGAAAACAGAGGATGTCTCGGAAAACTTACTTTCTCATTACAAATCTGACCAGGTATCAAAAACCAACAAACAAACCAAAAACCAAAACAGACTTTTAGAACTGGCTGTACTTCTGGAAACGTGGGAAAACATAATGATTTTTTTTTTTAATCTTAGCACTCCCTATCAGGATCTATGTCACTGATTATGCCCTCTATATGCATGGAATCAACACTCAGAGAAAATGTCCTGAAGGGAAAAATCTATTCTAAGTTCTTCTGAAAAGGAATAGTTCACTGTCTTTAAGAGATTTTTATTCTATTCTATGGTCACATTTTTCTAGTATTTCTCATTTCTTCACTGAATTGTGTTAAACTAAGAAGAGCAAGTCTAACATGTCATGCCATGAAATAGATTCTTGGTTAATCTAACACTGTGCTAGAGACTGCAGAGCAATCAAATTTTTTTTAATCTATTTCTGAAAACAACCACGGAAATTTAAGGAATTGTTACCAGGTAAAATTGTATACTCTTCAACTATATTTATAAGACTTGTTCCTTTTCTGAAGTGGCCTCAGAATCATTTTTATCCAGACAAATAAAAACTACCTTTTAATTACCTTCAAAGATCTCTTTTAATGCTTATGAAACTTATATTGCTCTTCTAAGTCACACAAATCCCACGAAAAGGATGTTTCTAAGCTCACTGAAACTTGCTACCAATCAATATTACTACACTTCTTCAACAAATAAATATCCTACTATCTGCAGGGTGCAACTGAACACGATGATAAAATAAACCAACTCTATTCATTTCTTTTTTCCAACCATATTTTTTAGTTCTTCCCATTAAAGGAACATGTTTCCTTCCAAGGTAACATGCAGCCATCTGATGTCTCACTTCAATGTCCCATGGAGCACCTCAAAATGAATGTGTTACAAAACAAACACACCTAGCCCCGCCACCCAGGGCCCCAGTGCGTTTCCTCTATCACTTCTCTGCGGTAAGAGCAACACCGCCCACCAAGTTTCCCAAAGTACTTACTTTCTGCCTCACCCCAATGGCTATTTAGACACCCAATGCTGTAGATTTTATTTCCTAAAATGTCTATTTCTAAATATCTCTAAAATCTTCAAATCCTTGCTACTACACTACCACTGTCCTAGCTCTAGTTCCATTTTTCCTCTGGCTTCACTAGGAGACTCATCTGTCCATCCTTCTCCATCATTCATCTTTCTAACAGGAGCATAACAATGGGAGTTCTCCCTTGCAGCACGCTCTCCACTGACTATAAAGTCAACGTCCTGCAACGTAAAATGTGAAGCTCCATTACTTAGTGGGCTGGCATCTGCCAGTTCATTCCATATTATCTCTGGATAATCTCTTTTCTTTCTTCCCCTTTTCTACATCTCGTCTCTCCCTGGTCTTCATATACTTCATCTGGTCTAATGTTTCAACTTTAGAAAACTCTAGCAAATGTACAAAATGATAGGTTAATAAGCCAATTGTTAGATTTTATTTAATTTTATTAATCACATTATTATTCCTGTATTTAATATACAAAAATATAACAGAAAGCTAAAACAAATACCCAAACAAAACAAAAGCAGGTTTGATTATGGTAGAGTTGCAACTGATATTTAATGAAAGTCTGCTTTACAGATCCTTAAATGTATAGAAAGCGCTTAAAAAACAGCCCTTTATCATTCCAGATTTGTGGCATCAAAATGTTCTTTAGTGTCTGTCACATTTCCTGCTGCTTTTCTAAGCATTAAGAAGAGTGAGGATAGTTCAAAGGCATAACAATAAGGCTACTTTTTACTCAAGCAATCTGCAGTAAATACAAATGGATATAATTTTTCCCCACCCATATATTCAACAATCTTTGTATCCAAGCTGCTCCAATTATAAATCCTCTCAGTCCAACAGCCAAACATGAAAATTTATTAGCCATAGACACACTAAACATTTTCCTTTTCACACAAGGGGAAAAGAAATTATGGCTTAAGTTAGAGAAATGTTAGAAAATGTGTTGCAGGTTTTTGACTTTACATATGTTGCAAAATAATTAGGAGAGAATAATATATTTTCAAATGCATTTTCTTGTATGATATAAGATATGTAACCTGCAACAGTTAACCAATGAGTTTGATGAGTTTTTGACCAAATATGCTTTTTAAAAAAATTGCTAAGGTGGTATTGTGAATAAACACAATGGAATAGAACTTTGATGAAATTCAAGACTAGTCCTTTGATTAGTGCTTAAATAACAGATCTATAGATACAGCATCTATAAATAATAACAGCACTAATACTGTTATTTGATGTTCTTAAAAACATTATGTATACTTTTAGAAAAATACAACTTTTACCAAGGTGAAGACTACTAAGATGGGCTGGCTGGTTTACAGTGGTGCTGAAAGTGGATACCAATCACTCCTCTGGCTCTGTTTATGTAGTCAAAAAGCCATTCAATATTAAGAAAATTAGGAAAGGTATCTGTTTCAAATGTGGTAGAAAGCTGATACTCTAACCAAGGACTGGCTTCAAACTCACAACAGAAAAAGCTCCCATTGAAATGTTTATCTGGGAAAACAAACCTCACTTGGAACAAGATTCTTCCTACAGTTACTGTAGGAAAAGAATGTTAAATGATATTATCAAGCTTAAACACACTAATATGCATCAATAATATCTTGTAACAATAGAATGTTGTGCTCACAGGAACTGCTGAAGAGTATGCTCTAGCTACTCAATATACTACACTTACCCTGGCATCATATTCAAGGACAAAAGGAGGAAAGTCGATCTGCTCTGGTGATATGGCAGAAAACAGCTGGTGCAGACTATCCACGTGGTGAATTTTGTCCTTCAGTCCTGAGACAGAAAAGGTGGTGAAAAACCATGTTGATACCTGATCAATAGAAGAGAAAAAAAAAATTAAGCTACTGGTCATGCAAAAAAAATTCAAATATGCTTTTGAAAATTTATACTAGATAAAATTATATTTAAAATCTTATAATCAGTGATTTCAATGTGCAGTTTGTAGCTCATCAGTGAGTTTTGCAATCAGTTTAATAGATTATGAACAACATTAAAAAAAGAAAGCAGAGTAACAATTACTAGGGACTGTAATAAGGATGAGTTTTGTTTGAAGAAGTTTTGTTCCATTATATGCATATATGCTTCTGTGTGTATAATGTGTTGTACTGTAATATATGCTTCTTACTACAGCTGTAGTCAAAACCACTGCACTATTTGATACAATAACTGGTACTCAGAAAATGATTATTTGTAAATCACACAAAGTCTTTTTAAATTTTCAAATGAGATTGAAAAGATGATTTTTACCAACATTTTGGGACTAAGATATTTTCAGTTAGCACTAGGTGTGTGGTCTTTCTTGAAATCAACCAAAATGAGTCACCTACAGACACAGGGACACTTTTGCTCATTTTACTTTATAACATGGGAATCTGATTTCAGGGCAGGTAGTGTTGGTTCTCCAACTCTTTCTTTTCCAAAGTTGGTTGATTACTTTAAATTCTATGCATTTTCACATGAGTTTCAGAATCAATTGGTCAACTTATTAAAAATAATTGTGAAATTTTTGGTTTGGATTTGAGTAGATGTATCAAGAAATAAGAACTATATTAAGTCTTCCAATCAACAAATAAAGTATACGTCTCCATTTACACCGGTCTCTTAAAATTTGTCTTGATGTTTTTCAGTACATAAAACTATAAACCCTACAAGTCTTCATAACTTTTGTCAGACTTATCTGTTTTTAATATTTTATTACTATATAAAGATACTGCTTTTTAAATTTTAATTTTCTGCTACTAACATATACATCAACTCTTGAATATTGATTTTTGTACCTTGAAACTTTGATCAAACTCACTCATTGGTTCTAGTAGCTTTTGTGTGGCTCTCACATAGAGTATGCTACATAGGTAATCATACCACCTGTGAGTGAATTTTATTTATTCCTTTTGAATCTAGATGCTTTTATTTCTTTTTCTTGCTATACTAACTGACTAGAATTTGAATATAGTGCTCAGAGAAGCCATCCTTGCAAAGAAATACTAAAGACCAACCTAATCCTATTTGTTTGTTACCATTAAAGAAAATGTTCAGTAGTTAATTAGGTTAACAAAAAAATAAATCACTGATGAGATCTGGGAAAATACTTAAGCACTACTTCTTTAAGTGCTAGAGAAAAAAATTAGTCACCTACTGAGAATAACAGTGGAAAACACTGGAGAAGTTAATAATAAACATTATCTGAATAGACTGTGATTAACTAAGAGTACAAAAGACCTTCATTTAGCAGACTGTTCATACATTACATGCTTTTTTAAAGAGCCTGGCCAAGCAGTGTTCTCAAATTTTTAAAATTATTTAATTGACAAGACAATTACAATAATGTGATTATGTTTTAATTCTTGTATCTATTGTGTAATGATTAAATCAGGGTAATTAGCATATCCATCACTGGATACATTCATTCTGTAAGCATTTATTTAGCATTTACTATGGTGTTCCAATACTGAGAGACCAAAGGGAAATCTGAAACTTTTACAAGAATTACTTAAAATACTTCATGCAAATTTTAAACCTGGTATGTGAATGAGAAATAGCAACTGTATAGAGACAAATCCTACAGTGAAAACCATTCTCTCACTTAAGTCTTAACTCATCTCTTGATTATGAAATATGAGGAACTTTCAGAACTTAATCTTACTTAATTTCTACACAGTTCTTCAAAATAGTGACTATTCCCACCCTCTCTAATCATTTCACCTTCATTGGCTCTTACAGCACTATCTACCATGGTTCTCCTACTAACTTTTAGATTACTTCTTGGTCGCCTTCCCTGATCCAAGATATCCGCCTTTAGTTGTCCTCTGTGATTTTATTCATTAACCCACTTAAAGTGCTAAATCCCTATTTACTTGATGGTGACTCTTAAATTTATACCTCAGGACTTGAATCCTGCATCTTTGGCATTAGGAGCCACGGATGACACAATCCTTTCTTTCACTCTTACTCATCTAAGATATCTTTGCATCCAAAGTTTTTATGTACAAAACAGTCATCTTTTGTCTAAACTAAATCATATATTCAGATTCTTGCTTCTTTTTTTTTTTGGTGCTGGGGATTGAACTCCAGACCTTGCACTTTCGAGGCAGGCGGCGGCACCACTGAGCTAAATCCCCGGCCCTAGATTCTTGTTTCTATCGAGAGTTAGCTGGCTCAGGGATTTAGCCCAGTGGTCCACAAGGACCCGAGTTCGATCCCCGGTACAAAAAAAAAAAAAAAAAAAAAATAGACTTAGCAAACCTTCACAAAGGACCATTAGAGTAAATATTCTTGGCTACTTATAATAACATCGAAGAAAATTTCACGATGTGACTGAAGGCAGCTGGAACAGTGCAATGCTGGAGGTAGGACAACACAAAACAGTCACGTAAGTACCATGCGCTAACTGTGCCACTAGAGCTCCAACAAAATGGTAACTCCGGTGTTATTGCAGGCAAAGGTGATGATGGGAAGAACTAAAGTAGAGGCAGTGAAAAGTAAAGACACAGGCAAAGATCTGAGTAGGAATAAGCACATGGAATGAACGTAATGCACAGAGTTGAGAGGAGAGGAAGTATTCAAGGATGCTGCCCTGGCTCCCGGCTTAGGCACCTAGGTAGGCAGAGGTTCTATTTACTAAGATGGGGAATACAAAAAGCACCTTAGGATTAGATGGAGGAAGAGGACACGAGTAGGTCTGTTTTTAAATGCTGAACTTCAGGAGTCTATATGATATTGGCATGAAGATATCGGATTAGCAATTCAGTGCATAGTTCTAGCGTCTAGGAATGACAATGACAGCTAACACTTACTGAATGCTTATTATATACTAAGTAATTTTTAAAGCACTTTATATATACTGACTCACTTTAGCCTTTCATTAACCCTAAAAGATAGGTATTATTCCCATATTATAGACAATGAAATTAAAGCACAGGGAGACATGTTTGGGGACTGCATGTCTTTTAAAGTCTCCGAAGACAAAGATATGAAAAATGGTACAGAAGGAAAGATAAGGGCAGAGGGTTTGGAAACACTACTACTCCAAAAGTGAGCAGAGAAAGAGGGTCCATAAATTCAACTGAGAAGGAGTAGTAAGGAGAGAAACTAGGCAAGGCAAGTTTCAAAGAAGCTGAAACTATTTTAAGGTATAAGTGATCAACCACATAAGACTGTAAGGAAAGTAGTTGTATAGAGACAGAAAAGTGCCTACTGGATTTAGTAACAGATTATTAGTGACTTTGGTGTGAACAACTTCAGCTGACACTGTGGAATTAGAACAAAATTGGAGTAACTTAAGGTGTACGAGCAAATAGAGATGGAGAGCATAGGATACAGATTACACTAAAAATTCCGGATATAAAGAGAGAGAGAAGCAGAGGCCATGCATGTTTAAGAGTTGGTGATTTAGATCCAGCAAAGTAGGAAAGGAGAAAGATACTAACTGCTGAAGGTAGGGTCCCTAGAAAATGGGGATACCTCCTGGAGTTAAGAGTATAGTTGCTAGGATTAAAATGTTTAGATTCAAATCCAGCCTTTGCTACTTACTGTGAGCATCAATTCACTCATCCATCAAATGGGAATGCGACTACTCTGTATGTCACAGGTGTACTGTGTAAGGGTAGGCAGAGCAGAGCCTGCGAAGAAGTGGCACATAGCAACTGTTCAAAAACCCCAAGCTATTGTCATTTTAGGCATCAGAAGCCAGGTGGAGGGATTGTCCTTTGTGAAGAAGGAACACATTTTTTGTGACAGAAAAGGGAGGCAATGATAGGAAGAGATGGCAAGTGAGTTGAAAGTAGAAGGGAGGCAGATTTTGTAGGCTAACATATAAGGCAGAAAATTAAATAAGCGATTACAATGAAACATTTCAATGACAGAAGACTATGGAATCTTTCAGGAGCACAACACAGGAGAATCTACTAGCTGTAGGGTTGGTCAGGGAAGGTTTTCTGTAGAAGGTAATTGTTGAACTGAGACCTTAGGGACAAGCAGAGAAGTCATTCATAAGCGAGGGGGAAAGTGTACACTGTTCTAACTGCATGAGCAAGGTCCAGCAGAACAAAGCACAAAGAAGCAGAGACTGAGAAGCCAAGGACTTGTAAGAGCTGCCCACGAAGACACTAGGGACACACAGACATTAGGAGCACAACTGGGGGATCAATTAAAAAGGAAGGGCAACAAAGGCTATTAGGAGTCACAATGTGACAGCAATAAGCAAGAGGATGAAACATCTCAATAAACCGAGCATGTGCTACACTTAAATTCAAGACTTAGCTAAAAAGAAAAATACTGTACCTTTGAACGAAATGTTGGATGAACAAAATAAACAGCTTTCAAATTCCTCTTGTACCTAATCAAAACAAGCAAGCAAAAGACTCAATATAAGTCATGTCTAAACCAGTCACTATTACAGACAACTCTTTGCTTGAAAACATAAATATATTCACAGAGGAAAAAATATTCTGAAAGCAGCTCTAGTTTATGCACTGAACTTTAGATGAAATGTGAAAAATAAAAGAATACTTCATATAAAGTGTCAGTTTGACAGGAGACATGAAGTGTTTCTGTAGGCTGTGACAGAGCCACCTAAAGGTAAGACAAAGTCAATTAATATTTAACAGACAAATATGTTGTTATTTTTTTATATGGTGATGAGATGTCTGGGATCAGATAAATGCACTGAATAACATTAAAGCCACTTAAAATAGCAAAAATTAGAAACAAAAAGTTAAATGGTCAGAATACAACAAATAAAGAGTTTACTGGACCTCAGAAATTGTACAAAGGCTTTCTGCTTAATTCTCATAACAATTCTGTGAGATGAACACTATTATTGCCATTATCTTAAGCCTCTCGAAGACATCCAGCTACTAAGTAATAGAGCAGAAAATTGAACCCGGGCCACATGGGTCCATGATCATAATCTTATCCACCGCTTCATCTAGCTTTTCTAAGTATGACTGAGACTTTTTTCAACAGTTCAATAACCACCCTTTAGTCACATGGGAGTTAAATGGAAGACTTCAGAGAATAATATAATCTCTTTCTTTTCTAATTGAGGACAATTCTAAGTTAAAGAGCTGCTTTGTAGCATTAGTAGGGACACGGAGGAGTGGATTCTTTGGATATATACAAGCCACACTCACAGCAAGTTAAAAGGTATCTATTGGATAATGAAAGCACTAATATTTCTAATTAAAATGAAATTTAAGAGGAGAGTAAGACAGTTGGGAATTTATGACAATTTACCTTCTTTGTATGTTAATCGTACAATGGATTTTTCACGGTAATCTATAAACATTGTGCTGCTACAAATAACAAAATAGCTACTTAGAGGGTAGAATGCCATTTTTATTTAAGAAATGTATGGATGAGAAAAAATTAAAGCATTCCATTTGATCCTGCTGTAGTGGGGTGTCATATTTTTTAAAACTTCCATTACCACCGCAAGTGAAATAGAGTTTATGAAAATAATTATCTAGCTATAACTGTACAGCTGATAAAGTCCACATTCTTCATTTACTGTTCTGAGACCTTGCACAACATACTTTACCTTTCAAAATGTCATTATTCTTCTATCTTTCAAGTATAGACAGTATTCTCCTTGATATACTTATGGGGTATTAGATCAAATTAAATAATGTTTACTAATGTATTTTTAAGTGTTTTTGTTATTTTATAAACAAAAATTGGTAATCACTCCAACCCTCTTCCAAGGTGTTTAAAAGTGGGAAGAGATCACAAATGACTTAATGTAAAATAAATCAGAGTTAAGAAGTCCTCCATTGAGTAAATTATGTATGATAAAAATCTTTGTTAATACCTCTTTACAGAATATGTAGGAATGTTTGTTACTACTTAATATTTGAAAATAAAAAAGCAATGACCCCTTTATAATTTGCAAAAATAACTAACTTGACATCAACAACATCATAGAGTTTCTTCAGGAAGTCAGAGTCCAGATGATTGTATTCGCTGGTCAGTGTGTGAAAATACACTAATACATATTCCTTCACAGCAATGTGATCCATTACATGGATAAAATATAAGAGAGCCTGAAAAAGCAAGAGGAATAAAGGTCACTTTGAGCAGGAGTCTATTTCACAGAGGCTGAGAGAGTGAAAACGACGAAGACTGATCAAACTATGCCCAATCATTGCACATGGACATGTCAGCCGGGTGAGTATCAACTCTCTTTAGAAAGATCTTCAGGAAAGTGAATCATCTCAATGTTTAGTAGTTTCCACAAATTCTATGGCATAATCCCTGTCTGTCTTGTTGTAAGTGACTGAGAATAATCAGTCTCTATCCTCTGAAATAACTCTTCATATCCTGGAAATAGTTCTTGGGTCAACTACCAGGTTTTCCTCTCCAGGATAATGATATAAAAATCTTCACAGGTGCTACAATTTCTAGACTTTTCATAATTCTTAATCTTTTGCATGAATTCTATGAAAAACTTTGCAGCCTCTGCTGAGAGAGTCATGGCTATAATGTAAGCAAGGCTTAATATAAAAGGATATAATGAATAGTGCTTCACAAGACTCACTTTAAGGGATAATTTTCTTAGCATTTTTAATGCTAATCTGTGCGAGGAAATAGGAGTGGGTTTGGTTGGTACATGGCAAAGGGCTGGGTAGTATTTCTAGAGCTTGAAAAGAGTCAAATTTAATGTCACTCAGGTTGGTTAGAGAAATATTCCATTACAAGAAATTTAAGAGAAAAATAAAAAACAAAACAGAGGTATAATATGGGCAGGGCTAATATGACCTAGGGCCTAAACTGTAAAGGATTACAAAGAGGAAGCTAAGAGGTTGCTACAAAACAGGCTGTTTTCTATCCTCCTCTCAGGCATGCCCGTGGCATTAACATGGATTAGGATTCAACTGCTATCAGAGCAAACAGAGGAGGGCATGAAGAAAACACAGTAACTTTTTGGTTGTCATCTGGTTTGGACCTCACATAAACCTCATTATTCTATGAGAAATGATTCAGCAAAATATCCAGGATGCCACACAAGTACACACCAAAATCAAATTCAAGTTGAATATTTTGTTATTTTTATATAGCAGTTGTGAACTTTTTTCTTCTAGGAATCATCTACTTCTGCTTATGAAGGGATTATGGATTCATGCTATCTTGGGAAACTACAATTCTAGTTCTTTCTCTTCTGATACTCAAGTGTTTATTTTTCTTTTTTTCAAAAAAGTCTGAATTTGACTGCACAATTATAATACAGAATGATCCCAACCAAACACTTGCCAGTTATATCATATCCAAAACAAGGCAGCCATGATTTGGAGATCATATTACAGAAGCCCAGGATTTTTGTTTGGTTTTACAGTGAAAAATCAAGTCCCTAACTTAACTAAAATGCTACATGCTGACTCACAGAGCCAGGGCTGCTACTTGGACAGACACACAATTCAGCCTCACCTCACGTTGTAAGCTCTGGTTCCTCAATTCACACTCTACTTATTGTTTAGACCAACATTATTTGTAAAGCAGAACCTTTTTATGCCTTACCTTATCCATATCTATCAGTGTTACAGGAATGTTTCTTCCAACTACTACCATCACTGTGCGGCCACAGTTATCCACACCTACAAAGAGAAAATTTAATCAGCACCCAAACTTTATTCCAAGAGCATTATTTGTGTTGGCCTCTGATTTCACAAAGAATATTCCACACACAACCTCCTCTTCCAATATGTGGACCCAGAGGGGGAGGGTGGGGCAAGAGGGCCCATGGAGGGGGTGAAAATGAACCAAGTATGTTACGTGCCGTGTGAATCTGCCAAATGAAACCCACTGATCTGCTAACCAATGAAACAAGAAAGAGTGGAAAAAATATTCTATACACATTTAAGATCGGAAACCAGGAATGTAAGTTTCTCAAATTTTATCTTCAGATTTCTTTAGCTATATCGAACACACGCTTTTTTTCTTTTCTTTTTTAGCTGTGTGACTTTTACAATGAGACCTCTTAAACAGTCTGAATCAGGGACAGCCTATATGTTAGGGTCTTTTTATAAATAACTTTTTGTTTAAGTTCGCCACAACTTTTAATAATATTTGTGATCCAGGATAAACTAAGTATCAGTCAAACCTGAAAATTAACAATACTGCCTGAAAAAGAAATATAATGGAGAAAGAGCAGGACCTTAGGAGATTCTGCTGTCTCCATTATAAATTTATGTAAGGTCTGAATTTTGTAACAGTGAGTACAGAGTACTGTTAAAGCAGAAAAAAAATTAAAAGAAAAAGGATAATAGGAAAAATGAAGTTGGCAATGTAGGGCCATAAGTTGAAAATTTTATAGGCTGACATGCTACTTTAAGATCTGGATGATGGGAAAAACTATGCATTAGTACGTAAACGCGTTATTCATCAACAGAATGGAGGAAATCAGAGACAAAGTCTCAAATAGCATGCTGGGTACAGTCCATGATTAGGGGAAGAATAAGTTGCTATATTCTAAAACTCACCTGTTTGGTATAAAGCTTTCAGAGATGCAATATCAGACAGATCTTCAGATCTTGCTTGACATAACCACCGATTATAACTGGCAAACAAAGGATATAATCATTACAGTAAACTCTTGCAAACTAAATTTGTGAAGTTTTTAATGTTTCCCTGACCCTAAAGAACTGAGGTTTCATTAAAATGAGGAAGGGATTAAAAAGGCCATGATTCCATGCAGAATCTTATGTTTTGATAAAATAAATATAAGTGAGTTAATGATAAAAGAAGGTATGCGTACTCCATGAATAAGAAAGTTCTTATGATCAAATGAAATCTATACAGACAAATGGCTAAGATATCAAGTACTTGGGCTAATATTGCATGTTTTTATTGAAAGAAAACAGAAATTTCAGCAAAAAGGAAGACATCTTTTTAAGAGATATAGTGGAAAATATAAAATATTCTTTGAATAAATGAAGTTTAGAGGAAAAAAAAGCATTGTTTCTATTGAACAGTAATTTTCCACTAAATCTCTTAAAAAGATGTCTTCTTTTTTTCTGAAATTTCTGTTTTCTTTCAATAAAAACATGCAATTCTTTGTTCCAATGTAAAAACCAAAACAAAGCTTTAAAAGGAAAATATTAAGTTAAAATAGATTCTGGATTTCCTAGAGCCTATCTCAATAAACAAATTTTTATTACATGCTAGATAACAATACAATAATCATGAGTAAACAATCATATACAGTACATCAAAATGGCGGCAACAGTAGCCATGAGAGTGTCTTAAAGGCAGAAACACTAGGTTGATAGTTTTCAATGGGTTGCAAACAACTGAGGTTGGATGCTGACCTCCAAAAACTAACATAAGCCAATTTCTTCCAGTTAATCAATTACCATCCACCAGCATAGCCAAAGATTGAATGATGAAGAAAATTTAAACTAAATGACTCTTTAAAAACTAATAACTAACCCATTTGGGTAAAACCAATGGCCCAGGAAAATTCTGTCTTTGGAATTAAAAGGAGTTTTTCCAGATCTCATGCAATTGCCCCACGCAGACTTGCTATTTCCTCTCATTGTTCCCTATACCTGTCATTTAAGTTTAACATTTTTCTCCTGTGGAAGACCCTAGGCTCTATAGGGGCACAGACTGTATTTGTCTTGATTGTCACTATTACTAGTAGTATTCTAGGACAACACTCTGCACATTAGTAACGGCTTACAAATACTTAATAATTAGCTAGAACATGTTTGTACTGTGAGAAATGACTTAAGAGTCACAGGCATTGGGTATGGTGGTGGACACCTGTAATCTCAGCACTCGGGAGGCTGAGGCAGAAGGATCACTATGAGTCTGAGGCTAGTCTGAACTACATAGCAAGACCCTGTCTCAAAAACCATAGAGAGAGAGAGAGAGAGAGAGAGAGAGAGAGATAAAATGCTTTTTTAAAAAAGTCACCGAGAACTGGACATTAAGCCAACCAAGGAACACTAATAACAAAGAAAGAAAATGTTACTGTACAATACTTTTAAGAGTTTCAAAAGCTGTATTTTTTAAAAACAACAGCTAAATTACCTACTCATTTCTGTAAGTAAATCAACTTCTTAGATACACCCAAACTAGAGTCACAACTGGACAAAAGACTTGGAAATACTAACATAAGAATTAGACAACTGACTAATTTTTTCAGATCTTTTTTAAAAATGATTTTTTCAGATCTTTTTAAAAAATGCACCACCACGCCTACTCTAATTAAAAAAAATTTTTTTTTAATGATTCGCTACAAAGAGACACTGATGTGGCATGGCAGTGCTATGAAAGGAATGAAATAAAACTATGTCCTGCCAATTCGTGTGAGCACTAGCTTTGTCTGATGGAAGAAGCCTACTGATGGGATGCTTTCAAAAAGAGAGTACTAAAACCCTACATACTTTTCAGAGGTAAAAAAGAAATTAATATTTGTTCAACCTGAATAGCTAATAAAGTTAACAGAAACCAGACTCAATATGTAAAAATAAAAGCCTGGTTGGTTTAGAAACAGCAAGAAAAAAAAATTTTTAAAAATACACACTGGAATCTTAAACATGGCAGGGTATGCAAACAGATGATTTACAGCTCAATTATATCATAAATTCCTAAACAATTAGTCACGAATTCTAAAAGTTTTTGGTCTTAGGACCCTTTTATGTTTTTAAAAGTTATTAAAGACCCTAAGGACCTTATATTTGTATTTATATTTATAATATTTATCATATTAAAATAAAAACCAATTAAAAACTTTATTATTAATTTAGAACCAATAAAATGCCTACTATGTGAACATAACTTTTTACTAAAAAAAGCTATGTTTAGAGAGAAGAGTTATGCTCTTAATTTTTGCAAATCTCTAATTTCTGCTAGATTCTCACATTTGGTTCCACATTTAATCCACTACAATATCACACATTAGTCTCCAGGAAACTATCTGACTGCCAGAGATTGAGAAGGAAAAGGGGAAATAAGTCTCAGTAAAATTATGAAATAGTTTGACCTCACAGGCCCCCTGCAAGGGAATCAGATTCCCTAACTCTGCTTTTGAGAAGCTGCTATCACTGGTAAAGCAAATGAAGCAGGCGTCCATTGGCCTGGGTCTGTTTCTGTACTAGGAAACAGCCACACCCAGCCACACCAACACTGAAGTAGAAGGCTTTCCTTCACCTGATTAGTTTTGGGAGAAAATACAATAACTAAATAGGACTTTAGCCAATCAAACAGTTTGCTAGTTGGATCATACTCAAAGAAGGCAAATGCCTCCTTGTAAGCCAATCAAGTAAATTACTTTGCTTGCACTTTGAGCCAAAGCCTGCTGATCACAAGGCTAGAGCAAAGAGCTCTCTGAACCTCTTCTGGTTTTGATGCTGCCCAAATCACAAATCATTCTTTGCTCAATCAAACTGTTAAATTTATTTTGTCTAAAGTTTTCCTTTTAACATCAGTCTAAAGTACTTTCTCTGCACTACAGACATAAAATAAAATCATCCTCAATCATCACAGACCTGGGCATATAAATGTAAAGTCAGAAAATCTTTTGATGATTACTCAAGAGAACTGAATGGCAAAGGTAGCCAGCCTTTGTTTCCTGACCTGAGGTTTGGGAGCCACAGGCTGTGCTGCCTCTGTGTCACTAGGTGTGTACAACACTCAGACATGTTCAGAACAGCTGCCCTAAACGGACCTGGCACCTCTGCCATCTGAAGGTAGGATGGCTCACTTGAATTTCTAGGAGATAAGGAGCACCTTCTTTACTTCTGTATACTCATGTCTAGAATATTATGTCACAGAATAAGTGTCTAATGTTTCCCAAACCAAGTGGAAAACACCTTTTTATAACGCATTTGACTCTCTTCATCAATGTCCTCTACCAGTATAAAGGACAATGCTTTTTATGCTGGATTTATATTCCATCTTCACAGGTACTCATCTTCTAGGAACTTTCTAGAAAGTGTAGACTTAGTAAATACATATTCATTTTATTTAAAAATTATTTTCATACTCATTTTAATATTGGCTTGAACTAGTAGTTAAGTGAAACAAATCAACTCATCTTTTTAAAAAAGAAGAGGGATAAGCAACTAGCCCAAAGATAAACTTTAAAAATTCTAGATTATCTATACTTATGGAGAAATGAAAAAGGTATGTGGTATGTAATTACATGTGTGTGGAGATGACAGAGACAGAATACACATTCAACACATACACAGAGAGAGACAGAGAGAGAGAGAGAGAGAGAGGGGAAGCAGTATGTTGGCTGATTTGAGACAGATGATAACTATGCAGGTTCTTTCTTTGTAAATACAAAACATAAAAAAAAAAACAACCAAAATTAAAAAAAAATCTAGTCCTCTCCTAACTTCTCTGAAGTTGGGTTTGTGTAAGTGGGTTGAAGACAGTGACCAAGAAGGGAGAAATGCTGAAGGTGGTTACGTGGAAGGCTCTTCCTCAGTAGCTGTACCCATGAGCAAGCCACTCTGGGCAATCAGCTTACCTAATGTAAGGCAAAGGGGTCAAAATAGATCAGTGCCTTAGGGAACACAAGAATCAACTAAGGAATTTTCAAAGAAAGATTCCTAAGTCCTTTCCATAGAGGTTCTGATTCAGTTTTGAATCAGATTTTAAACAAACAACCCTAGTGATTCTAACGCTGATGGATTGTAAGGTCCACTTTGGAAGACTGTATTAGAGATAATCAAAATTCCTCCCAACTATAAAGTACTGCTGAGAGATTATAAGACAGTGACGCTGCAAGTGTGGCTGCAGACCCTTGAAGAGGTCTCAAGACACCATATGGAGGTTTGAAAAGTGAAAATTATTTTCATAATAACCCTAAGACACTATTTGCCTTTTCTGCTGTGTTGGATTAAAAAGCAACTGCTGGGTAAGAATGGCCGGTGACTGCCCAAGAGCAGATGACGGTGGGGCCCAAACTGCAGCAGCCACTGGATTCCCCAATGCCAAGATACTTATGGGAAGAAGCCATTTAGGAAGGTCTTTGATGAAGACGTAAACAGCATTAGTTTTATTAAATCAACTCTTGAGAACATATCTTTTGAATATTAATGTGCAACAAAAAGATAACATAAAAAACACTTCTGCATACTCGGGATGTCTTAAAGAGAAGCACTATGTTGTTGTCTGAGTTGTAAGCGGGACCAGTTGCTTTCTCCATGGAGTACCATTTTCACCCCAAGACTGGCAGACAAACTGTAGTTATTTAGCATGAATTGTTTTCTCAAAAATGCATAACTGAGCCTGTCATTTCAACAAAATTAACAATTTGTTGCCAATGATAAAACTTGAACCGTAAATATGTATGTACATACATATGTGTATATACATACACACACACACACACACATATATGTATGTGAGTATATAATTTTGGAAAATTTGTATTATCACTAGAAGCTGGTTAATTAAGATTTAAAGACTTTCCTAATGAAATTGGTGCTGATACTAACAAATATAATTACTTTTACATTGTATAATAAAATGTGTCAATATTTGGAAGAGCTATTTTCCAAAAGATCTATTTATCATGTTATAAAGTAATGCTACAAATTCCTGCTATATCTGTTCAAAGTATAGCACAGGACAACATATTTTAGTTCAGAATACAAAAATCTACGGTCATGGATTGAGATTCTACATTACAACTAAATTTAAGAAATTACATCATTCATCAAATTCTAGTGTAATATCAAAGAAAGGTATCCTCAGTTGTTTGAAAAGGGTATTAAAATAGTCCACTATTTTATAATTACATATTAGAATGATTTATAAATTTTTAAAAAATACAAGGGTACTATTCTCATAAATGAAAGTTTTTGAGAAAACAGGATGAATTAATTTTAAAAAACTGATGTTTTCTGATATGATAAATATTGATAAATGTAAACAAAAGTTCTTTGGGGTCCTCAAAGGGATCTGGGACCAAAGATTCCGAGAGTCACTAGCAATGCACAAACCATAATGTGAACATGTTTTTAAAAACAAACAAACAAACAAACATATATATATATATACACACACACATATATATGTGTATAAAATGCAATTATGAGGGGGAGCTCAGCCGCTGTATTTAAAAAAAAATGTGTGCCAGATGATTCTTACACATGGCCAAGTTAGAAACCACTGAAACTATCACTTGATTCTGATTGTGCTGTTTGGAAAAGCTGTTCATTGGTGCCCTCTAGTGACAAATGTGCAAATTATTTATTTATTTATTTAAATAAAATCAGAATAAAATGAAGAGCTGGGACTGATAACCAAAATTTTAATTCTGTAAGAGACTCCAGAAATTATCTAGCCCAACTCTCATTTTATGAACGGAGCCTGATAATATCAAGACATCATTACAAAACAGTATACTAAAGGCCATGCTATGCTTTGGATAGGTTCAGGGTTTGAAAAATACACAAAAGGAGGCACCTATTCCAGATTTGAAAGATGAAGGACAGGATTGAGGGACAAGAGTATTCCAGTCAAAGACACAAGAAAGTTCAAAGGTAAAACATACCATGGCTTGCTCAGGATTGAAGAGAACAGCAGGGACCAAGTTTAAGAGCTTGACAAGTACCAGATGGTATACCATGCTCATTATATTATTTTACTCCTCTCAACCCTATGTTACCTCTCTACCAACTGTATAAGGTAACAGACAGAAGGCATTTAAAATTTATCTTTTTTTTCTCTAAAATGTTTTGAAAAGCAGCTAGCTTTAATTAAGGTTAATTTTTGGAAGAACTTAATCGAAAGTACAAAAGCTGCATCTTTTTTTAAAGGATTTATTAAAAAATGGAATGGGTCAGATGTTTTCAAGATCCTTTGGATGAGCTGGGAAAAAGTAAAACTCTTTTAAATGGAACTAAATTTTAATTATACATGTATTAAAAACTTTATAACTGCTTTTCCCTTTTCCTAATTTCTACTTTTAGAAAATAACCTCACACGGAGGGATTGCAATTAGAGTAGACAGAGTAGAAGTCTGAAATGAGACACGCATTTGAACGCTGGCTTCCCCACATATTAACTGGGACCACTGACACATCACTTAAATTTAAGCTCTGCTCATACAAAATGGGGACAGGATCCCCCTGACTGGAGTGTCATGAAGAAACACGGGAGCATATTATGTATGTGTAAAAACTAGGCAGCAGGTTCAGGTCCCTTTCTTGTTTCTTGTATCTTCATGAATCTAACAGTCCCAACAGTTCACCTTACTTTCTTTGATGCTGCTTCTGCAGGGCTGCCTCAGATAATTGTCCCTGAAGGATTAGTTTTCTTTGTTTATCAATATCTCCTTCCATTCGAGCAAAGGCATGAGAGCCAATGAAAGACAGATCATCTCTCAAGCCTTCATCCTCTTCTTCTTGGTTGTCTGTAACAAAAATACTACTATCAACAGAGAGCTGATGACAAAGTGAGGCAGTAAATGAAACAGATGTTGAGTGCTGCAGCAGGAATGACTGTGCGCTAACTAAAAACTGGGATCGTGGGTATTTTGTGAGAAGGATTTAGGCATTTGAACAAGTGAAATAATGAAAGAAATTGCTTGTCCATGTGTGATGGAAGTTTTAGGAATATATGAGATCAAACCACGGTGACCTGGGTGTAAACTTTAGAAGGAAAGAATACATGGGGGATCATCAGCAGAAAAACAGAATTAAACTGTCTTTTGGTTTAAACGTGGCTCCTGACAAAGCAAATAAAAGTCTAAGCATTTGAGACCGCCTGTATAGCATTATTTTAGGAGGAAGCCCTGGCCCTTTGTTGGATAGTGAGCTAATGAAGTCACGTAGGCCAGGATCACAGGCTATGATCCACACTCACTAAGAAGTATATCACTTGTAACCTAGCACCTTGGTTTCCTGCCCTAATCATACTAAAGTAACCATTTTGCTCCATAAAAGTTGTTCTCACTATGAACTAAGAAGCAAACTTTCTGATCTACCCATGGAAGCCTTATGAGTTTGGCTAGTAGAAGCCACTCCGTTAGGAACAGATCAGCTCTTAGTGTAATGCCTTACTAAACCCACTAACAACAAAGACAGAAATAGAGAAACAAACTTGGACCATGCAGAATTTCCCAAAGTAGTGCCACCAATTGAATCCCAGCCTGGTGGGCCAACAGCTGGGATTTCTCTACATCTACTTCATTGATACTCGAATTGTGACATGCAAACAGCTTAAAAGGACCTGGTTTCATTAAATATTGTCCATGAATGAACCTTTAACAGAAGACTAATAATATATATATGTGTATGTATATGTGTGTGTATGGATTTAACATTCTAATTGAAAGTATTTATGAACACATGAACTCTAAAGCCTGTTTTCTGAGATAGAAAGGCAAATCAAGCCCCTTAGGAAAGGGAACCTGTGGCTAATGAGAGCCTTATCCACTGGCCGGATGCGCTATCTCAAATTAGTATTGCTCTTCCCTACTCTTTATCTCGCTAAATGCATTATATGGAGGAAAAATGATACGCAGCAGTGGTAGTCACAAGTATGAGGACTGGTAAGTGACTATGTCATTATTCCAAAGATCTGCTCTACTGGATACTCCTCCAGAGTCATGGTGACCAGTCCAGCAAAGCCTGGTCAGACATTTCTATCCAAGACCACTTATAATTCCCTCCGCTTGACCCAAGTCTGCCTACTGGAGATAAAAAGGAGTTGAGTAACATTCTACAGATTTTAACCTGGTGTTTATTTTTAACAGAAGTATTTACAGTAGGACTCTCACAGTAATTCCTAAGCTGCTGAATGCTTCAGGTCCCAGCACTGAGCAAGTAAGGCATGTCCACAGAGAAGGTATTTACGACTTTATATATGTACAGGTGAAGACGGATAGAAGCTTTCATACAGAATAGATCCAAACCGGCTTACATTCTAACATGCTACACTACTATTTCAATCTACATGAGTATAAAAATCTAAAGAAATAAAATTAATGTTTGTAGGATTCTTGCTTTAGTATTTAACGTTACATACGTCTTTTAGAGGGCACTGTTAAAATTTTTTAAAACTAGCTAACGTGCTTCATTTCTGTCTCAACCATATCCTGCTTGACAGAAACTGTTACACTTTGTTATATTCACCTCCGAATCCCCACTGCTTAACACAGACTCGGTATAATAGCTCTCTAGCTATCCACACACCTACCTACTTATATATAACTATTTTAAAATTTGAAGAATAAATCTCAGTAAGACTAGGACTCTGAACTTTTAAAGCGCTCTTGATTTTAGAGTAATGCTAACAGAGAACTTTCTGATGGCCAGCCTGAACTTCCTACCTCTGTGATAGCTGGTATTTCATCAGTACCTCAGCGTCCTTTAAGAGGAAAATTAAGAAAGGCAGAACTCTAGGACTCACCCTCTGGAGCACCAGGTTTTTCACTTATTCTGATCTGCCGTTCAGGCACCACAGGCTCCCCTTCGGCATTTCCAATGTCTGCAGGTAGGTACGGCAATGATAGAGTCTCCTCCTTTAATGACCTTGGGAAGTATAGAGGTAGCAGCTTTTGGTAAGTTGCCTGTGTCAGAAAAGCAAGGAATTCTGTGAAAATAATGAAGCAATGAAGCAGCCAGAGCAGTGCTTGCACGGCAAAGGTAGCCACCAACAAGAATAGAAGCCTTAACACTGCTGAGCTCACACTGCTTACTCTCTGGGACCCTTCATTATTGTGTGCTAAGATCAGGATACTGTGAGCCAACAGGGGGTCCCTCATGGCAATTCAAAGGAAACTAAACCTGGAATTCATTACATTAAGTTCCACTCCTCCTGCCCACATCCCCACTTGCCCTTTTTACTAGAGATGTCTGTCTTTCAAACCCAGCTTAGATGTTACTTCAAGCTCAGTGTATTTTCAGTCTCCACTGACCCAGGTTCTGTTTGTTTTTCTTTTTAAACATTCTAACTACCTGTGAAAGACTATTTCATGACCCTTCTTAGCTTTTCAAAGAACAAAGATAAATTTCATTAAAAAAAATAAAACTCATTCTATCTTATAATTTCCACACAGGTCAGTCCAGCGCACTCTTTATGAATCCACAGTAGATAACAGTCATTTGGTTTTCTTATTTTTCCTAAATCATGAGACATTTTGCTTTTTTATCCATCCTAGAAATTATTTTATTATTATTCAGTATTATTCGTTGATTGCTCCAAACTATAATAAAAAAGACTAAATTAAAATAGTACAAAAACAAAAAAACAATGGAATCACTCAGGACGATGAAATCATTCAAGAAATCACTATCCTCCAGTTTTCGGGGTTGCACATGGGATTGCATCATCTTCTAAGTAGGTGTATAAAAAGTTTGGAGATACTAGTTTTACAGTCTTTTTTAAAATTCTAAAATATAATTTACATAAAATTAACCCTTTGAAAGTGTATAATTCAGTATATTCCCAAGTTGTATAATCACCACCACTATCAAATTTCAGAGCATTTTCATTACTCATCAGCAGTCATTCTCTATTTCTCCTCTCCCTCCTCCAACCCCTGACAACTACTCATTTGTTTATCTCGATGGATTTATCCATTTGGGACATTACACAGAAATGGAATACCATATGCGGGCCTTTCTATATGGTTTCTTTCATTGAGCATAATGTTTTCAAGGTTCACCTTGTTGCAGCATGTATTAGTACTTTGTTCCTTTTTTATAGCTGAATAATATCTCATATGCATAAACTAATTTTATTAACATTTGAGTTGTTTCACTTTTTGGCTATAGTGGATCATACTGCTATATTTTTGTACAAGTTTTTGTGTGGACATGAGTTTTTCTCTTCTGTATGTTTATTAATCAGAGCAGATCTGCTACATTATATGAGAACTGTATGTTTAACTTTCTCAGGAAATACCATTGTTGTTCAAAGCAGCTGTTCCATTTTTATATTCCCACTATGTTCAAGGTCTCCAATTTCTACATATCTTTGCCAACACTTATTATCATCTGTCTTAGTAATCACAGCTATTCCAGGGGGTGCAACGTGGTATATCACTGTGGTTTTGATTTGCATTTCCCTAATGGTTAATGTCACCGAGCATCTTTTCATTGCTGACCGGTCATTTGTATATCTCCTTTGAAGAAATGTATATTAACCATTTTTTTTCGCCTTTACTTTCTCTATTTTATGGTCCTTTCACATCTTAAAAAGCTTGCTGGCCAGGGAAGACTGCCCCTTCCAGGGCTAGCTAATTCTTAAAGATGGTAAAAAACGTACTTGGGGATATATCTTAAGTGTGCAAATTAACCAATTCTACCCCTATTTTTCCTTTGCTATTTTACCAGAGTGCTGAGAGGTGATGACTTCTCAAGGATACAACACTGAGAAATATTAGAAGCTGAATTGGACAGAGCACAGGTAAGCTAACAGAAGCTTAGTAAGATTAAGATCTGATTTTGTAAAATGGCTCTGAATTAAGCTGAAACAAACTAAAGTTGACCACATACAATAAAGCATGTAAACCTCACAACCTTCCCAGCGCTAGTACTAGGCTCGCTGTCATCTATTTCCAGGTCAGGGAGCCGCCGGAGCTTCCGCAGCTGAGCAGCAATTTTCTGCCCTGCTCAGGTTACAACGTGATGCCTCGAGAACTGACACAAGCAGCAAAGTGGGACAACTCTACCATGTGAGACTTCACTCAACCGCTGCCAACAGTCAAGCGGCACAAAACATGAACAAAAAGCTCTTTTTTGACTGTTTATAGCTTCCAATATAATTTTTTCCAATGAATGATAGTAACTGCTACTGCCACGTGAGTGCACAGATAATTAGGATTTTTCTGCTGGAAATGTGGTAAATAGATAATGACAAGACAAAAAGCAAACAAGGAAAAAGAAGATTTAAATATTGCAATATAATTAATAAAATACCTCTTCAAGTTCAGAGACAGCAAATACTACTTTTTCAATGGTATGCCCATGAATCTCTAGGAATCTCCTCACAGTACCTAAAGAAGAAAACAGAATGACTACTCAATAAAAAATGACTTATCCATAAAGAATTTTGTATCGGATCACTTCCCACTTCATTCAGTCTGTGTGCAGGGACCCCTTGTCAGAGAAGCCCACCCAGCCTATCCTTTATGAAAACTCCCCCGATTTACTTTGCTCCAGAGCAACTGTTGCAGATATTCTATGGAGCTCTTTGCTTCCTGTGTAACTTCTCTGGCCTCAATCTTCACTAACTAGAATGAGAGCTGCGTAACAGTACAAGCTTTGCTTTGTTTACTGCTCTATTTCCAGGGTGTATAACACAGCCTGGCCGCAGAAGACACTGGTGACGAATGATTTTTCCTCAACCAGCATGCTCCTCATGTCCTGGGGCCTCTCTCTTTCACCAGACCCGTCTAGTGCAAGTGCAAAGCACAAGCATCTTCCATTCACGTAATTACAGCGTTAGACATCTCACTCATCCCATCTCTTCACAAGGCAAACATGACTTAATCTGTCAAATGTCTACATTATCCTGATTTTTCGCTATCAACCTCCTAATAACAAGGCCCTTTCTCAGTTCTTAAATTACTGGAATTTCTCAGTCCTTTACAATGTTCATGCCCTTGTCTTGAAAAAATATCCTACATGGTTTTGTTGGCAACGGTTTTTATTTTCTTGATATACACATTCCCCTTAGCTCACTAATTTGCTCAAATGCTGATAGGTCTTAAATGTTTATGTAGTTTTCTAACAAAAACATCAGAATTACCTACTCCCTGCTAGGCATATCCTCACAGATAATCTAGCGATCTCAAACTAACCCTGTCCAAACCTGACCGGACAGGTCCAAATCCTGCCCTCCAGCTTCTCTCCTCCATTCCTCATCTTAGTTACACATCAACACCGAGCCAGGCACAAAAGGTAGAATCCTGAATTTGCTGTGATACTTCCTTCACCTCTTCCTTTAAATGGTTCTGTGACGTTCTAAACTTACCGCTAACATTTCTAACATCTATTTCTTCTCTCACCTTCACTCAAGTTCTCAACATCCACAGACTTTTCACAATAAGCTCGTAAATCTTCTTTGTGTCTTCCATTTCCAAGTCTACATATTCACTGCTGCCTGAGTTATATTCTTATGTTACCTTCTTTATTAAACATTTGTGATAGTTCTGTGCTGCTCAAAGGTTAAGACCCGAAGTTGCTAGAGGGACACTCCAGGGCCTGACCCCAACTAAGCACCACTCCCCGCTCGCCACCTAAGACCTATTTCCAGTCATTCCTCCCACTACCTGCAGATCTAGCCGAATCTGGTTCTTTGCTATACTGAAACATGGTGCTCACTTTTACTTTTATGCTGAACTACCTTTGTTTGCAATGTTTACCTTTGACTGTAATACCATTCACCTACCATTCTCTACTCATGTTTCAAGACCCAGTCAAAAGCCATCTCCTTTGTTCAAAATTTACTCTTCTCTGTGCTCGTCCTACACAGTCCTAAACAGGCTGATCCTCAAGTTATGACAGTTAAAGTTTGGTTTATGATTTTTCAACTTCATTCTGGGCTTATTGGGAGGCAACATCTTCTTAACTTGAGTAGCATGTATTAATTTATTTGAACATTCTTCTGTATGTGAACTTTTCATAGTGTTTTACAGCTAGACATTTTGAAGGCTAAATATATATTACATTAAAATTACATTAATTAAGGCCTAGCACATCTTTGGGATATGACATGCAATCATTCAAAATTAACTAGTAACTCAACTAACAATGTACATCTCTAGTTATATATTGATTTCTTTAGTTAATACTGTATTTCAAGAATCTACTAGAGCAGACTCATTTGTTGAAGGACTTCATATTATTCTTTCTCTTAGGTGATATACTTTCTCTTTATCCTTCTAGTCTGTGATATTTTTTTCTTAAAAAATAAACTTTTAAGACAAGATTTTGTTTATCCTATTTATGTTTACACCAAGTCTTAATGTTCACATGCTAACAGTTACTCAGCCTATGACTGTGGTACTTCCTTTGGAAGACAAAGCACAATGTCAAATCGTAACCAAATTGAATTCCCTCAATAGAGCTCATTTAGACAAGTAATTCTGCATAAAAGGGGAAATAGATCATCATTCTCAGGTTTAGTGCTAACTATAAGTTCACAAGATTCCTCCCAAAGTTTCATATACACACGATTCCCCACATCCAGTCAAAACGCCATGTGCTTAAAATTTAGTGAATACCTTTTAACTGGTGAGAATGACACATGGGATGTTAAAATTTCCAACATGGAAACACAGTAAGAATAAACACCTTCATCTTTTTTCTTACCATCACAACCTCTTGTATAAAGCACAGAGCCTAACCACACAGTTACTGAAATTTTTGTTGAATGAATAAATAAATTTATTTGGCTAAATCTATTTCAATATGGATGTTTCTTTAGGCTTTTTCTGGAGAAGAACTGAACAGCCCAAGAACTAAGAAAAAAAAAAGTCTTGATAATGTTACGCAGGTTTCAAATGAAATACAATAAATTTTGTTAACAGGATAAAAAAAAAGCTTTTGACGTTAAGGACTTACATTTATAATATTTGATTTGTACACAAAAGTGTACAAGTCATTTATTTGTTTTCCAAATGTTTAAAATATTCAGGCAAAGAGTATTACTGTAGGGGCAGGGGTCTATAGACAGGCAAAAAATAAAATAAGGGCCTCATTAGTTTTCTAGCTAACCTTGACTAGAAGTTAAAATTTTATTAGAGAAAATTCCTCTGGTAACAATTTCTAGAAGAGGGGAAGAAAAAGAGAAAAACCAGATAAAGAAGGACACTAGACAGCAGAGGTAGCATTAGAGACTTACCAGAGAAAGGGAGCTGACAGGCAGAGCACACACAGGGCGAGCGAGCCAAGGGCTCAAAGCTAAGAGGCTGAGACAGCTGTCTCTCCCACCTCTAAGAGAACGCAGGGGAAACTCGGTTGAGCGGGGCTGACTAACTTTGAGGGAAGCTCTTATTCAGCACACGTGTGTGTATGTGTGTGTGTGCAGTAATGTGTGTACACACACACACACATACACATATTCACTCTAGTGTCACTATATTATCCACTCTAGGGTTATTATATTATTACAATAGATATCCACACACCTTTCCTAACACTAAGCTAACCATAAGTAAAGTACCCCCTTGGCAACCAGCTGCCCAGCGATAAGGCCCTGCCAAGGTCACAGAAAGAAATGACGTTAGGCAGGAGTGCCCAGAAGCCAATCGAATTGCAGCAAGTCCAGATTGGGTGAAGGGTCTCTGACCCCCTATAAAAGCAGCCGGGAACAAAGATCCACAGTCCCCCATCTTTCTGGAGCCCCTCTATCCCGATTCTTACCAGGATAGTTACCTATCTTCTCCTTCCTCCTTCTTTTCCTCTTTATAGATAAAGTGTCTTCCTTTCCTTAAACTTTGTCCCTCTAATTCTTACTGTGCTGGGCTTATACTCCCCATGGGTGAGCTGTTTGCTCCAGCAGAGCAGCGGTGGGTACTTGCCCCTCCTCCTCAGGAAACATCCCTGACTTTCTTTCTCTTCTTTAGATTTAAAAATGGGATGCTATAGTTTTACTATAGATTAAAGAAATAATAAGTCAAATGGAACTTATACAATATTAGCTAACTGGCCCACTTACAGAGCTACACACTTCTTTTTTTGAGTTTCTAGAAATTGCTTCATCAAAGTGCCCAAGTGATTCATTTGGGACCACAGAGCTAGAGTTGGACTGGTATAATTGGAACTGAAAATTCATCTTCTTGACTCCCTATTCAAAGCCTTTTCTACAAAATGTTACCTCTTTAAATTCTAATTCTTATGACTACTTTATTTAAAAATGGACAAGGCAAGGGTCAAGTCAATTTAGAGGATATCAAACTTGCCAAAGAAATGGTATCATTGCAGGAATTTTACTTGTGTAAGGAATCATTTATAAGACACTCAGGTTGTAACATAGTAGTGTCTCACTGAAGTAGTTCTAATTCAAACATAATACATTATCTAGTAAACCAGATAGGCTACTAGCTTTGGGAATTAGAAGGCCTAGATATATGCGTCTGTATAGCTCTAAGAACATGATAAATTTCTGAGCTCTTTTATTTGTATAATGGACACCACAATATCTAAAATATTGAATTGAGAAAATTATATGCTCTTTTTTAAATTAAATTAAAACTAAATTAAATGCTCCTTTTTAAAATATGTATTTCTGGAGTGAATATCATATATCAAATATTCTGACATATTTTTTATAAAATATGCATTGTATATAGAAAGAAATATAAGCACTGAAAATACAAAGACAAAAAGATGAGATTCCTGCCCTTCAAGAAGGTCAACCAGGGGCTGGGGATTTAGCTCAGTGGTTCTGCCGCATGCCTCGAAAGCGCAAGGACCTGAGTTTGATCCCCGGTACCAAAACAAAGAAAAAAAAAGATCCGCCTAATAAAGTATATATGAACCGTAACTATGAAACATAACAGATTTACCGTAAAATATTTGACGAGTTTAGGATTTTAGTTATTAAAATAAGCCTTTTTTGCGTGGTACTGGGGATGTACCCTAAGGTGTCTGCACTGAGATGTATCACCAGCCCTTCTTCATTTTTTATTTTGAGATGATCTCATGAAGTTGCTAAGCTGCCCAGGCTGTGCTTGAACTTGCGACCCTATTGCCTCAAACTCCCTGAGTGATGGAATTACATGCAGGCGCCACCGTGTCTGGCTAAATAAGATTTTTAAGACCATAAATAATTTTATACATTCTAGTATCTTTGTAATTTTTGGTTGATAGACTTCCAGCTCCTCATTTTTAAATTCCAGAGATAGAAAGGAGATTTAAAGATCATTTAGTATAGTTTCCCTCCCAAATGAGTGCTGTTTTCTATACATCTGTAACAGGTGGTCATGGAACTTCTATGTGAATATTTCTAGTGACAATAAATCCACTAAAATACTACTCTGTTAGAGGCACTTCCACCTCAAATAATACCAAAATTTCCTTCCTCACAATTAATTGGGTTTTAGAGCGTGCAATCTGCAGCTGGATTTCTTATCTATAATCCTTATAAGGACTTGTAAACTTCCTAAACCAGCATGCAGAATCTGTATTTATAAATACTCTTCTAGAGAAAAGGGCCACAGCTCAGCATAGCTTATGATGGTACCCTTCCCTGAGAACTGACACTCTAAAAATGCAACACACAGTAAGTGCACCTTGAGATCTTGTCAGGCATTCGAAGACAGGCATCATATCTTCTAAAAGCATGCTTTTTGTTAGGAGACTACCATTGATCCTTCAAACTGTTTGGCCTTTAGGTTGTCAGTGTCTCCTGAGCTATGATACCCAGAACCATATACTAAACTCGGGATGTGTTTTGAATCTGCACATAACATAGTGAGATCATGGCCTCTCCTGAATTGAACATGTAATTTTTTGTGCGTGTGTGCTGGGGATGGAGCCAAGAGTTATGTGCATCCTAAGCAAGCATTCTACCACTGTGCTACATCCTCCATCCCATCCCATCCCAGTAAAATAGGACATTTTTACTCATATCGTTTGAGGCCAGTCTTTTTAAAACCTAAATGCATGGTTTAATATTCAAATAGTACAATGAAAGCTACTATTTACTGTTTACATTGTAAAGTGCTTCACAAAAATGCCATGATATAATCTGTTTGACCACATGGCTGCAGACTATCTTGGCTTCTGATTCAACTAGCCAGTGCACTGGCCATACTTTCTAGTTTGGTGTCATTTTCACACTCAATAAGTTAAGACTTCTTTTATTCAAATGGATAAAAATCTTAACCTGAGAAAGTAAACTGAGAGCTCCAGAACCTGTCAGTAGACAGTTCCCTCTAGCATGTCAGGTTCATTTCATCAATGAATCTTGTTTGGCTGCGACTATTTATTTAGTGATAAAAAGAACTGCTCTTAAAATTTTCAATTTATGTACCACATCTCCAATATAACTTACGGAGTGCTATGTGTGTTGCATCCTCTAAGGGATAACCTCGCTTTGCAGAATTGATGACACAGAATCCAACAGAAGACACTGACTGCTCTCTGTAATCAAAACAAAACACAAAACTTATACAACAAACATTTATAATATATACAGAACTTCCAAGTGACAAGCAACTTTTCCTTCCTTACTTCCTCAACAAGTTTACTATTAATGGGTAAGCCAGGTGTACTACTTAATAATTATATAAACATACGATTTAATTATGCTCATTAGGGGATATATATTTCAAGTAAAGATTGAAAGAAATGCGAATAGGTTAAATCCTCAAGTTACTTAAATTGTCCTATTTATATGGTTAAGTATGAAAATTAATTAATTCTAATTTCAGGGCCCACCTAAATCATATAAGTCCCTCAAAATTTGACTTCCACGCTAGGTTTCATCGTTAAATCCTTGGCTTTTAACAATGTTTGGCATGCTAGTCCAGGAAATGAGTACACCATACTTTGCTAGCTGAAGTACATTTCTGTAGCAGCTATACAGGGAACTCTCAGCTGCCGTGCGATAGCGGCTCTTGTACTTTGGCCCCACTGTGTGAATGATGAACCGAGCAGCTAGATTAAATCCTTTCGTCAATTTTGCTTCGCCTGTTCGGCAACCTGGGAACAATGGAAACATATATTAAGCCTGCAGGTATTAGGGAAAATATCAAATCACAGCATAGACAGTATCAAGGCCTTTGACAAGTTTCAGTTAAAAATACAGATTGAACACAAGTATTTATTTCTGTATTTTCCTGTTCTCAAAATGAGAATGAAGCAACGAATGGGTATAAGCACAAAGAAAATGGGAGAGACACAAAGCAGAGAAGAATCACCAGTTTTCAAAGGTACAAAGTCAATGGATGAAGAATAAATGACTTAACAGAGAAACCTGACTGCCTGCACAAATAGGTAACCAATATGAGGCAAAGTGATCTGTACCGAAAGGCAGTGTCAGATTCCAGACAGACTGCTTTAATTTAAATCCTCAATTCTCCACGTTCCTGTTCTACTGTCTGTCTCCTCATGTTTTGATTTCCTACTTAAGGGGAAACTAGTAGTATTTACTTCACAAGATACTAAATGAGTCAATGCATTAGCTATTATTGCTATTATTATACTACAAAAGCTCAGAAAATGGAGGTTCTCAGTACTTCTACAACTATGGTGTAATGTGAGACTAAAAATAAATGGAGGCTAGGGTTAAAAGTTTGTATAAAATCAGTCAAATTCACAATTTTCCCCCAGCCACCACAAGAAGGGAAAGATTTCTTTACCACCATGGCATCAGGGAAGGAGTTTATTCTTCTCTCACAGTAAAAATTCAGTTTGTTGATCAGATGATACAATTCTTTCTCTATCACTTTTTTCAAACAGCCAACATTATATGTATTTCTGCTCAAATTCTAGTATCTTTCTTACATTATAAAGCAAGTGTCAGTGTTAAATGGCAGAGATCAGGAAAGCAAGATTTTATACTGAGATCAAACCCAGGGCTTTTTCGCACTGAGCTATATCTCCAGGCCTTTCAAAATTTTTTATTTTTGAGACAGGGTCTTGCTGAATCAATAAATTGCTCAGGCTAGGCTCAAATTTGCAATCCTCCTGCCTCAGCCTCCCAAGGTATGCACTACCATGCCCAGCCTGAAGTTCACATTTTTCATGCTGAACACAAATGTTACTCATTCCTTAAGTATAAAGCTTTTTATAAAATGGGAAGATTTAATTTCACAGTATTCCATTTGGGCTCCAGTTAACTATAACATAGAGATGTTAGGTTGGTAATTTAAAAAAAATTAAAGCAAATAAGGGCAAATAAGATTCTGAACCAAAAGAACTCTTCCTATCCCCATTTCCACAGCAATATTCCCAGAAGCATGCTCTGATAAAAACAAAAGGCTGGAGGTAAAAATTACTGGAGAATGTATGTACTCCTACAATGCATCTGAATTTATTAGTAAGTCAACTTTCATTTCAGAAGGGTACCACTGTATCCAGGAGGTATATATAAAGAAATTCCCTATCAATATCAAAGCATAATTTTCAGGAAAGGATAACTGTTTTAAAAGGCTTATCAATGCAAGAAAATATAGTCAGGAAAACTGCAGCAATGATCTAATGGCCACAAGGATTGTCATTTTAAAATTCAAACACATTACAGAGTTTTACTGGGAGTAAAATCTCAAGGCTCGGCTTTTAACACCTTGTAGGCTTTCAAAAGCTGTTTTACTTAGTTCTAACAAAAGAAAAACAGCTACAGCTACATAATTTTCTCACTTAAAAACAAAACTTGCTTCTCTGAGGTAGAAAAACATAAAATTAAATAAATAATTCCTAGGGAACAACATACCTAAGTAAGTCCACTTACCTTTCAGCTTCTGTAGGTCCTCCTTCAGATCAGGCCCCGCAAGCATGAAGATACTTTCTGACACAGGGTTCTTATCTGTGAGGTTTTCATTGCTGGTATTCACAATGGCTGTACAGTTCAATAATGCCACATCACCTTTCCTGAATAAGCAAGAGAAGTGTGGGGAAGGAGAGATAAGACACCTACTTTCTAATTCCTTCACAACATTCTAACTTTCCCTCTTTTACAAGGTTGGTTTTTCTTGCAAGTTAACTGCACAAGATTAATCTGGCCTGTTCCAAACAGCTTTAATGCAATTGTTACTCACCAACCCCAAACTATGAAACCATTCTGTAACACATTTGCTTATTACCCATTTCTTTTGTTGCAACAGAATGCTTACAAAGTTGAAAGCAGTTGCTTTAAAGAGTTTAGAAACAGCCACAGTTACTCATAAAGGCAAAAAGTAGAAACACCACCAATTTCCATCAACCAATGTCCTGGTAAACATGGGATAGTCATACAACAGAATATTACCAGCCATAAAAGGGAATGAGGTACTGATTCATACAATATTCAAACAATTATGCTAAGCCACAAAAACTTCATATGCTATTGTATGGATTCCATTTACATGAACAGTCTAAAACTGGAAAATTTACAAAGATAGAGAATAGACTGAAAATACAAACTAATCTACAGTGACAGAAAAATCACTGGAAGTTTGGGGATGTGGAAACACAGGAAAGGGCATGAGGGGAAGACTACAAAGCCTACAAACAACTTTTGAAGACAGTGTATATATTTACTATCGGACTTGTGATAGCTTTATAGATGTAGACATATGACAAAATTTAACAAATTGTATACTTTAAATATGTACACTTTATTATATATCAACTATATCTCAATAAAGTTGTATATGTAAATGTGAAGCAACATTTAAACAATGCTAGGGTTTACAAAAAAGAGCTAGAGGAAATTATGAGAGAGTGTTTTTGGATAATGATATTATATAATCAAAAATTTACCAAAGAACCACTTTTCCATTGATAACTTTATTATAAAGAAAAGGTGATCTAATAATATCTTCCTGAAATGTTTCAGCTGTAGTTTCAGAAGAATTTAATTCATCTTCACATGAGTCACCCCAGCTTAGCAGAGTATCCACATCCACAAACTGGGAAGGTGCACCCAAGGGATCCATGGAATGAGAATTTCAGCTTGTCTTTTCCCAATTCCTCAGCAATTCAATAATCCCTGAAGACTTTAGCTTAAAAGGAGAGAAAGAATCACTTTAATAGAGAAGCAAAGACATTACCTCAATTCTACTAAACAACAACAAAACTCTACTGTGAAATGCTTCAATAGTACACCATATGATTATAGTCATTTAAATAGCCCATTAACAATAATGGACAACAATAATGGAAAGAATTCATACAGCTTTTCTACAACAAGAATAAAAGGGATTATTTAAGCATAAATTATTTTGAAAGAATCACAGCCATTAAAATAATCACATGGCCCATCAGCTGTACTTCTCTGAAACAGGACTATTCATTCAACGTTCAGTGAGTGCCCACTACTTTTTTAAAAAAGTGCTAGGTGTACAAGAAACACAAAGGTAAACAACATGTATAATTTAAAGAGTTCAGTTTGATAATAGTAATGTGGACACTGTATTGAGTAAGACAAAAATGAGAACTATGAGAAGCGAGGTAGTTACTAAAATCAAGTGGTTAATAATAAATGTTTCAACTAAGTAGCAAGTAAGACAGAGGATGCATGGGTTTCAGAGGCAACATACAATGGAAGAATGAACAGAATCTGACAATTTACAGGATATGGTTATGGTAGGTGATTGGCTGTACAGAAATAATAATAATTATAAAGAATGAGATAAAAACATATAGCGTGTCAAGTACTGGAGTGAAATTATGGGAAATTTCATCAGACAAAAAGATTACTTAATCTGCCAATAAGTCACACAACTGTTTCTGTAAAACAGATCATTCGTTCAATAAATCCTTATAAGCATCTATTACATATTAAATACTGTTCCAGGCACAGGGAATATACTAGTAAATAAGATAAAGTCCCTGCCCTTGGGGAGCTTATATTTTAATGGAGAAGAGATTATAAAGAAGAAAGCATCTAACAGAATGACTAGAGGCAATAAATAATATGAGAAAACTTGACACCTGAACAGAGAGCTCAAGTGAAAAAGCAAGGCATGTGAAGCTCTTGGGAGTGTTCTGGGCTGAAGAAATATCAAGTGCAAGAGCTGAAAGGGCAGAAAGGGCAGAAAGGGCAGAAAGGGGTTTGCTATATTCCAAGAAGAGCCAAGAGCTTAACTTGGCTAGCGTGAAATATGCAAGGTAATGAATGGTTGTGAGGTTGGCAAGGGAGGGAAATGTCTGGTGATGCAGTTTGTAAGCTATGTAAGTAATTTAGATCTTATTCTAAATATAAGTGGAAGCTACTAGAGGGTCTTGATCAAGATAATAACTGTATATAAGTAATACTCAAAAAATATACTAACTACAATGAAATAAAGAAGGGGCAAGAGCAGAAGTAGGATCAGTAGAAAATGACTACACTAATCTAAGTGAGACAGTGGTGATGAGAAATGTTAGATTTAGAATGTGATTTGAAGGTAGAGTCAACAAGACTTGCTAAATAAAAGTAGAAGGTGAGGGAGAAGAGCAGAATCAAAGATGATTCCTAGATTACTTACTGGAGTAATTATGCAGATGGCAGTGCTATTTACAGAGAAGAGGAAGATTGGAGTAAACTGTGGGGTAGAGTGATAATCAAGAGATTTTTGGGCCTTACGCCTTTTTAGATGTGCTAAGTTGAGACAATCATTATGAGGGACAGTATTTATGGCAAACATGAAACTAGCTATATGAGGCTAGAGCTCAGAGAAGAGGTTGAGCTTAAGATACAAACCTGAACGTCTCAGCATATAGATAACATTCAAAGCGCAGGAATTTTATGAGATCACCTAGAGAGTAAATTCAAATGGGGAAAGAGCTCCAGGGAATGAATCCTCAGCCAAATTTTGAGCTTGGAAAGAGAACAAGTCAGAAAGGGAGACAGAGAAAGACTGATTAGAATGGAAGGAAAACCAGGAAAGTATGGTAGCCTAAGCCAAGGGAAGAAATATTCTAAGTAGGAGTGCCTGAGAAGAATCTGCTGAAGTTTAATGCTACCAGAAGGCTGAGTAACAGGACTTGTGGGTTTGTTAAGTAGGCGGTTGCTGGTAATATGAACATATGTACATAAAAGTAGATAGATGACAAAGGAAAGATGTATGAACTTCTTTTTTGAAGTTTTTCAGTATGATCCTAACACCTGTTGTTAGTCAATGAGAACAGGAATGCCCTTGCATAACAAATTCCTTGATGTTTCTTGCTGAGGAATGGGGCACTAATTGGAAAGCTACATGGATCTAGTGTAGTATGCTAATTCCTGTACCAATACGGTGTTACAGACAGGAAATGTGATAATTTATAACACTTCTAGGAAGATCTTGTATATTATAACATGATAAACTTGTATGTGAGGACTATTCTTAATTGAATAGTGGTTGGTGTTTAGTTCATCCAATCTGCCTTTGAAACTAGACACAATTATAAGTTTTGCCATTTACTCCAGTTATTCAGACTTGATCTGGACAAACTGAACAGAGAACAGATGAAGACTATACTCCATAGGTGAAGTGGCTCAAACAGTGAATGAGACTGCAGAAATTCATAATCTCAAAAATAAATTGTTTTTGACAATGACTCATAAAAAGTTCTTAACCATTATACATTTTAAAAATCCCAACAACACACACATAGTTTTCAGTTTGCAAAGTTGAATGTTAACTTTCAGAACAAAATTCCTTGTTTAAAATAACTTTTCTTTCTGACTCTAAGTAATATTCACTTATAGAACCCTTGAAAAGCACCAAAAAGTTAAACAAAAGGAAAAAACCTTAGATTTTTAGTAGTTCCTACTTGATTCTGTGATAGGTAAAATTATTGAATCCAGATTCTTTACTATGTTAAGGTGAATATTTCCTCATTCAATTATATAATAAGGCAGGAGTAGTATTGTACAATGTAAGAGCTTGGGTTCTGAATCAGAAGGCTTGAGTTTAGATTCAGGACTCAATAGCTGTGTTATCCTTAAGTCTAAGTCAGAGTTTATTTCTAAAGTAGGTTTAATTAATTCCTAGGGTTACCATGAAGACTAAATACAAAAATCCATGTCAAATTGCATAGCAGAGCATCTGGCACAAAGGAAGGAACATTAAAAGCTACTTGATATAACTTTCTCAGAATCAATGTAAAAGTCTCCTGCACCAGGCTTGAGATAAAGTTTTATCTCATGTGTGACAAAGACCAAAATGCTCACTGTCAATGATTTTAACGGTCACCAAACAAATGAAACACAAATTGCTGAGTTAAGATATGTACCTCAAAGTCACAACTTCCTCTGTAAATCCCTAGATAAACCCACCATCTGTTTTTTCTGATTCTGTTCCTGTCCCACTAAAAGAAAAGAAAAAAAAATCACATAATCAGCAATCCTGTTTGCTGCCAGAACCAATGCATGTTTTCCTACATCAGCCGGGCCCTCTGTTCACACCATCCGGCAGCTGTTTTAATTATTCCCGGTGGACTCTGTGATTCCACAATGCATCTGTGGTATCGTCTCTAGGACGTCCTTCAATGACACCCAATTCCAGGCATTCATACAGTGTGCAGCTCCTTTCCACAGTGAATATGGCTAGCCTATTTAACCAATTGGATATTGCAGAAATAATAGGAATGACTCTTCCAATGATGTGTCATAAAAGATGTAGGGACTTCTCCCTTACTCTCTTTTAAACTGCTCAGAAGAAGCTAGTCCCCAAGAGTTGGGGACATTCTTGCGGCCATGGAAAGGTCCCCCTGGGAAGAAACTCAAAAAATTGCAGCCAACAACCAGCATCATCTGCCACACATGTGAATGAATCACAGGGGAAGAGGATCCTCCAACCTCAGCTGGCTTTGAAGTGACTTTAGACCCAGCTGACATTTTAAGTACAATTTCATGAGACACCCTTAATCACAGCCACACAACTAAGCTGCCTGCGAATGCCTGACCTACAGAAAATGTGAAATGAATGCCTAACTGCTTCCTAGGTGCCAGGCATTCATTCATTCAGCACTGTTAGGTGCTTGGTTTCTGTTTAGTGACTCTAGTGGAAGAGACAAAGCCATGAAAATCACACAAATGTATAATCACAGAAATAAATACACAAAGTATGTGCCAAATATGCTTAGAAAAATGAGCTAATTTAGATTGGAGAACCAGAAACTGTCTCTTCCAGAAAGCAAGTCAATACCAAAAGCAGCAGAAGAGATTTACACACAAAGGTAAAAGTAAATCTGAGACTCTTAAAGTGGAAAAAGACACTAAAAGACCCCAACAAGACCACTGCGACAGTACAGTGGGCCCAGGGTATCTATTATATATGTTACAAATCGGATCTCTAATCTTTACAAAAATCCCATAAAAGTAGGGATTAGAACTTTCATTTCACACTGAAGATACCAAGATTCAAAGGTTCAATAAGCAGCCTAAGGAAACATATTGGGAAACATAATTAGTAAATGTAATCATAACCAGGACCCTGTGATCAAAATCAAGCATAGGCTGGTATTAAAGCCTGTCAGTCCCATTCTCTTTTTTTCTGAGAAGAGAAAGATGAGAGTTCAATTAACTTTCTTCCAGTTGAAAATCTATCTTCATTCACTCTTTTCAATTTCCAAGTGCATTCAGACTATATTCTCCATGTGTAAGCCAGCCAAGCGACCTTAATTTAAGCATTTTACTCCATTCCACTTGATTAGCTCTCTTTTAAAATAATGTAACATCAATTCTCTCCTTACATTTTGAGTGGCTCCTACTTGTTTCACCTCATCTCAAAAACTTTTCCTAGTACATTTCTTCTCAGAATATCAAACTCCTTACTTTCACCGCTTAACTTTTTAACAATCATTTTTTATAGCTCTGCTACCTCTTCTCAACCAACAGGGGTTTCGCTTTAGCTCTCAAATAATGCTGTCTGCTCTTTCAAGATCAATAATAACAACTTTTGAAACATCAAATCAAAAGTTAATCAAATTTCAGCCACATTTACAATTGATGATTTCCTCCTTGAAACTCTATTATCTTCTCTGAGGTACACTCTCACAGTGTTTGTATCTCTAATCATACCTTGTCATACAC